AGTACTCCCTCTGTAAATTCGTGCAACAAAAAGCTGTGTTTGATATGCTTTTTATCTTTTGCCATTTAAAACAGTTTGAAATTATTTACGAATGATTTATAAGCAAATTATCTTAAATGTCGTCTGATTGCAAGCATATTGCCTGTACATGTTATCTGACTACAAACATATTGCTTTAAATGTTGTCTCTTACAAGCAAATTGGCTTTAAATTCTGCCTCCCTACACGTTTTACTGGTTGAAAGTTCTAGTCATCGTAGTGTCATGTACGACGCCAGAACCACTTGTCATTTGAATCTCCAAAAACGAGATGAACTTTTGCATCAGTCCAATATATTTGTAAAAAAAATTAGCTGCGCAAAAGCATTGTAACTGCATCGTTCGTCAACGTATAGAGAGAGTGAAAGACTGAATATTTCTTAGTTTAAAACTAAAAAATTCGGTAATACAGTCATAGATTGACTGATGGTTTCATAGACAAATTATTTGCATTTAAAGGGAGATTATTAAGATTCCCTCGTCTTCAGGTAACAAAAATATTCTCACTAAATTTTGATAGTCAGATAATTTGAATAACTTACATGTAACTACTTATACTATTTGTTAAAAGCGTATGCATTATTTTACTGTGTCAAAATAGTTTTGCTCCATAAAAAGAGGAGCCATAACTGTTTTTGAAATCCAGAGAAGTTTTCTTAAAACTAAGCGTCAATCTGTATTTGAATTTGTCTTATTTTAGAACTTGAATGCATTTCACAAAAATGAAAGCGCCGCAAGGAGTACATAATGATATTTGACACATAAAAACACGCTTAAACTACATGTAATTAGACATGCCTAAACTACATGTCTTAGAAATAAAACTAGAATAAATTCACAGAAATATTTATAAATAGATTATAATAACAGAAATAAATTCCTTCTACAATAACCAGCAGTTTTAACTCTAAGATCTAATAGTTCATTTATCCTTAACTTGACATCCTCTCGAATACTTTCGTATGAAAAAGTGTAGGCAAGAAATATCTGATTATTCTGCATTATGTTCTTTCTTCTTTTTTCATAAATATGAGCCACGAAAAGCTAACAACTAATGAATATTCCATAATTATTTACTGTTTAAGCAAGTGACTAGATTTATATATTTAATGTACTAAAGTCTGCTGGTACGTATATATTTCTGTAATCGTAAACGTACCTTTTCGCCGCTTTTTTTATAGTATTTTTTATTGCCATAACAAAAATATAATTAATTTTTTAGAAAGTTCTCTAAGATAATAGTTGTATTACAGATAACAATTACATGCTTTGGCATATAATATAGTTAATCCATTTCAATTCATCCACGAAATATTCTTGCAATGTGATTAATTTATTTAAAATTTTTGACGAGTATCGATTTAACATCATAGTCAGTTACATTTTCAATCAACTGCAATATTGCTATTGCAATTAGATGATAAACGAAACCTAAGTACTCCCGCAAATTAGAAACAAAGAAAGGGAGGGGAAACCTTAAAATTTCTTTTAACATCAATTTAGATTTTCCAAATTTACAAGCCCAAAATTCTGCAATTTGCAGTTAGACGACAGAATTATAATTCTACTTAAATCTCATTTGCAATTACAGAATGAAACTTTCTGTAATTGCAAACAAGGATCACGCCCATTTAGGTGTCACGTTAATTAACCTTTACTCCAGTAATTTAATTGAATTTATCCTAAGTCAATAAAAACATCTGGATGCTCAATTTCTCTCGTAGCAGTTATATTTTATTTTGAAACCTTAAGTTTCATTTTAAATCTTAAATGCAGTAAAATTTTAGTAACAGATTAATTGTATTTCTAAATATATGTGCGCAAGAAACGTAACTGCATGCAGCTGCATTCATTAGCGTCAGGAAATATATTTTAAAGCAGCGTCCTCAAGATTTTAAAATTCTTGTAGAAACCTCTGTACTTTTCATCTGCAGAGGAATCTTTAAATAGAAATTCGTGATTTAAACAGACTTAAAAGTATATTACATATGATGGTAAGTCTATTCATCACTATTTCTTTTAGAACTCCTAGCGATTTCTTCCGGAACCTAATTGAAAAATGCTACTTTAAAGCATCAATTTTTCCTATTCGTTTATCTCGGTACCTACAAAGACGTCAAACTTGAAGGTCAGCGGAACATCCACTATTGCCTATCACAGTTGACATGCGAATAACTGTTTTAGTCGAGGTCATTGATAAGACTAGTGCGTAAGTGAAAGAATAATTTATTTTAATGAAAACGCATTTCATAAGCAACATCTAAAAGCTGCTAATTTGTTCTCCAAACAAAACTATGTTATGTCTCTCTTTTGTAAAAATTAGCTCAGTTCATTTAATACCAATACATACTGGTCGATAAAAACGATATGTCGATAAAAAAAATATTAGATTTTTTGAATATAAAACGTTTTTGGAACAAAACCACATTTCACATTTTATGGAAGAATATATATATATATTCTTCCATAAAATGTGAAATATATAATAGATATATATATATATATATATATATGGTGTGTGTGTGTGTGTAAGATAAAAAATATGAAAGCAACTTCTAAATTTAATTCACTATAACCTCTTTATTTTATTCCATTTGGAAAACTTCTCTCTGTCCTAAAAATAGCGCTTAAGTCTAAACGGCGTCATTCAAATTAATCATGCGATCTTACATAACCTTAATGCAGATGCCTCTTTACCAATCACCAAATTGCAAACCAAAACTTTTCTCTTCACGTGCTTCCATTTTTCATAACTACGCGCTTCAGCTTTGCTCTTTACTGTGCTGACATGTAAGTTCGCTGGCTTGCTTTCTATCTCAACATATCAAAATGTAAATCTTCTGTGGAAAGGGACACGATAGAGTGCCAAGTGATTGTGGCCACAAATATCCATTTGGAAATAAAAATGAAATTAAAACTGCATCGACTGCCAAGTTTTATCAAAATTCTTCTTCAGTATGGATCTAAGCACGCATCGACACAGCTCCGGCTTTTCTTGGCTTTTAATGTTACACACACACACACACACACCACACACACACACATATATATTTAAACTAATCGTTTAATGAAAAACACTTCATGCAGCAGGAATATTATGATAACTAAAAAATTAACTATCATAATATTCCTGATCATATGTGATTAAAATTAAACTCGTGGGTCTACTAACAGTGATGGATTTTAAAAGGAAATTTTCAAAGAGAAATTGATCCAGCCAGTGGCGGAGTAGTTAAGATCATTGAATGCTAAAAGTTCAGCCTAGTTTAGATTCGATCCCAGGCAAACAGGATAGCTACAAGTTTGGTTTTCGTGATTTTTCTCATGCGTAATGTGAAAACGAGCTAGTTTCCCTCACAAAATCTTCCACAAAGGTATCCCTCTTGTCAAGCATATAGCTTTGGCGTATTAAAATAACCAAATCAAACCTTAAAGAAATTTAAGAAACTGAACATAATCATTCTTATATCTCTTGTATATATACTATCACTTATGTTGTCTTGACTTTCTCCCTCATACAAGTCGTACAGGGCAGATTCCACGATGTTACTTTTAGTCACTTTTGTGACTCGCTTAACCACTTATGTTCATCATCATCAGGTATATTATGATAGTTTAAAAAAATATAAAAGAAAAATAATAAAGAGTAAAACAGAAATAATAAAAATAATAAACAAACAAAAACATTATTTTTGAAACTAGAAAATTTTTTCTTCCTGTTCTGATGCGAAATTACATTCAGGTCATTTTATACTTTTGTTAAATTAGAAATCCGATTTTATCATCACTTAAAATCTTAGCAACAATGAATGATTAAATCCTTTTACTATTTAAAAATCTATCATTGTCAGAAACTGCACGATAGTTAAAAAAATGGAACGATTTTTAAATCGATTACTCGCTTAACCACTTAATATTACTTCCGTCCATTATTCTTCCTGTTACTAACATTTACTTGAAGCATCGTTGAACTAATTGACTAATACAGTATCAGCTTTTACCTTCATTTCTTTTCAGCTCTGACAACATGAATTCTGTAATTCCTTTTCAAGTTGCGTACGAGAGGTATAAGATATGGATTCTTCTTATTTAGTAATTAGAACAGAAAGTGTTCTACAGTAGAAGTAGAAGCTAGATCAGTACGTCTGTAGTACAGGTAATTCAGGTATTGCTAAACCTAGCTGATTGTTAAGCTTCTTGTTTAAGTTTTGCCCCGATTTTGAGAGAGAATACCATGCAGGAAGGCGGTCCGAGGGTCTTCCACTCCTTTTTCCCTACCACCACGTTCTCTATGGGACTTTCGGCTCGTATGTATTTTCAGACCCCCTTGCCCCACAGGTACTATACGCTTACAAACATCCGCACCTTTTCCGGGATTTCAACCCGAACCCATCGATACGGCAGTTAGCGTCATTAACCATTATACCAGCCGACCGGCTTCTTAGTTTAGTAGTACATGCATTCGGCTTTTAATTATTCTGTCTTAATTTCTCTCTAAAATTTTCGAAACTTATAAGAGCCAAATTTTATATAGGCATTCCTTCATTATTTATAGAAAGTTCTACTTATTCTATGGTATATTTTTATATATATTCAAATATGCATAATACAATGTTCCATAATCTACTCTTGTATTGATTTTCAAATAAAATTTTCTGGAATTCTTGGTGAGTATTTATGATTTAAAAATTAATATTCTTTCCTTAAAAGCTCAATCTATATTAGAAATAATTTCTCTACTGTCCAAAAGGATTACATGTTACATAGCTTAACTTCTTAGGATCATCATACAAATAAAGTATATTTTGTATATCACCTTAATTTAATTAAAAAACTTCGTCGTAATGCTGCAAAAGTCGACGTAATGCTGCAAAAATGAGGTTTTCAATTCTTAGCCTTAAATAATAAATGTAAATTCTTTTCATGCATTCATTAGCAAAATCAAATTTTTTATTTTAATAGGGTGGAGTGGTAACAGAAACTAAGGTGCAATGCTTTGCTTCTTGTAGAAATCCATTGCCACCAGAACCCGGAAGTTGTTGCCCGACATGTCCAGGTAAATAATAATTACATTAGCAATGAGCAGAATAGTAATATGATGTTAGTGTCTTAGGAGATTTAATTTTTATGTTCTCAGTTAAAGTGAAAAGCAAATGGAACTTATACAGCAATTTGGAAGTTTCACAGGTGACGTAACTAATGTTAAGCTTCCTTGGTGAAAGATACTTTTAAGCTGTTATGTAGAGCTATATATTAGTAGAATTTAAGAGACTAAGTTTGGTATTCTTTTTATTTCTTCCCATCTTTTAAAAACCACATGAAAGCTCATATGCATGGTTTTTCTAAAATTATCTTTACAGTGTTGATCCTCTATACGATATACGATATAGCGAAATAGATACGATATAAACGTAACAGGATATCAACTTTCTGTTTATTGATACAATATAAACGGAACAGGATATCAACATTCTGCTTTTTGTTAATGAAAAAGTAATTTATAAAATTTTATTTGCCATGAAATTTTTAGCTTACTTTCAGATACAATCTGCATACTGTCTGCAGCTTGTGAGGCCCTGGACGCAAGTTAAATACAAAGTTCAAAGGAATTTCCATTCAAAATACAGAAGAACTTCACTAACCAGATCATCAAGCAACTATTACACGAAAAGTTAATGGAGACTAGTAATGTGGTTCATTCCACTCCCCCCCCCCATGGTGGGCTCTAGTCGTTTATATCCCAAGTAGCACAGCAACGACGTAACGACTTTGCAAACTCGTCGCGGATGTCGTTGCAAAATGTCGTCTTTAATACGCCCAGATGTCCGCGAACATCCACTGTTTTGCAACCGTTGCAAAGACGTCTTTATTACTTCTTTGAAGATGAGGTTTTTGTCGAATAGACGTCTTTATTACGTCTTTGCAGATGAGGTTTTTGTCGCATAGACGTCGTTATTGCGTCTTTCGCAGGTAATATTTTGGTTGTGTCGCGAAGCATCGTATCACGACGTCTTAAAGACGCCTAATGTTCGCCAAATTCCACCTTTTTTGCAACAGTTGTGAAAATGTCGTTATTATGTTCTTGTGTTACATATTGATTTATGCAGAAAAATAAGCTTAATAATTAACATATTTTTCTTCTTTCTTAAAATTTTGTATTCCTTGTATTGATCTAAAGTTAAAATATTTTATCATTTCCTGAAAACCAGAAGAATAATACAAATTTTTCTCTTTAGACAAAATATGCATAATTAATAATAGCCTTAATTATTTTCAGTACTTTAAGCGATATTTTTTAAGTAACTTAAATTCTAAGTTACGATATATAAAGATTTCATCATTTTTTTCCCTTAAGTGGGAGTAATTATGAAAGTGGTTATTTATAAACATATAACATTAATAGTAGATTTTAAGTAAATAAAACTCAATTAGACATAAATAAAAGTAAAGTACATGTGGGTAAAAAAGAGCGTTTCTTTGATAACAGCATTACCACATTATTTCTGCTAAATCTCACAGGCATTGAAAATTGCCCCTGTCATGATAAATTAGGAAGCGGTTCTTAAGGTAACATAATCAGCATTTTACCTGAAGTCAAGTATAAATTTATTCGCGTATCACAGTAAAAAACATAACCATTAACTTCTATATCTCCAAGATATGTAAATGAAAGACAGTATAAAGTAGTTAATAAACGTGATCAAAAATATACCTAAATCTAATAACTTCCCATATTCCTACCTAAAATGAAATAATAACCTAACAAAACAACATACATGACAGCACTATTTAAGAAATAGCATGAACTAGTATTGTTTGAAAGTATAAATATCAGAAGGAAGGTAACAGAATTTAGTAAACATTTCCAATTAATAAAAAATATTTGTGTTTTTTAAATAGTAAGCAATTAAATGTGCAATATTTATGGATTGCACTATTTACTAGTAATTTTGATGTTTCTTAACACCATTTCTTTTGATCATATGTAAATGTATTTACTTACTATTAGTTTCTACATTTTAGAATAATGGTATTACAATGATCAATTCATGCACTTTTTATAATCAATAACTTTTCTTTTGATACTCTACAGAAATAATTTAAATAATATAGTATACGATAGTAAGCTAAGCACTTCGTTAAATAGCACACGCTGAAACTTTTTGTTTTATTATGAATTTCTTTGTTATCATATGCACATAAAATGTAAGCGAAGAAAATACAATATACTAAAATTTAATAAAGAATAAAACCTAATTTCCAACATTAATTTACTGAGATAATGTAATAGACATACATAACAGCAATATTATTAAAAAAAAAAAAAAAAAAAAAAAAAAAAAACGCGAATTACACAATATTTGGAAGAAAGCTACAAACGACAAGCATAAAACTGCAATTTGCAATAATAAAAAATATATTGTTTTTTAATATTACACAATTAAATATTGCATAATTATAGATTACAATATTTCATAGTAATTGCTAATGTTTCCTTAACACTATTTCTTTGATCATAATGTCATCTTTGATCAAAAGTCCTGAGCACCAATCTGTTCGATTAATATGAGTGATATATGATGTAGCACTTAGGACATTATAACCGAATCCGTTATATACAAATATTGCACCGCTGGATCACTGAAGATTGGAGAACACCACCATGTAAGTTTAATTACAAGAAACATAAAACACCAGAACAAAACACTATTTCACTGTGGGACGATTTTAGCACATAGCATTGTAGAGCGGATATTCACAAACAAAATAAGCAGAAATTCGGCATTGCCACCATGATTTCTCCTCAATTCAAAATAAACTGCCATCATTATATTCTTTTCCATCGTTCTGTTGCTGTATTGAAGCTCTCCAGTATTTAATTCCGACGGTGAATTACAAAACCATGAAGAAAATATTTCTGAAAATAAAATGGAGTTTAAAATTATTCCGCCGTTAACTGACTTGTTCAAATTTGACAGCTAGCCAAAGCGCGCAAGCCTCGACCTCAGATGTAGTATAATCAGCCAGTAAATAATATGCACATGCAGTTCAGTCTTAACTTTTCAGCGGTTTATACGATGGCATTAAACCTTTCGACGGTTCTTCTGATAATTTAATAGAATCTATTTTAAATGACATAGAAGAATTATTTCAACTGAATAGAATTACGAATAATATTCACAAGATTATATTTACAAAAAATATTTATCTGGCTCGCTAAAACATTTATAATGTCAATATCGCCAAATCCCGAGTGTACCGTATACTAGGATTAAACCAAGCATTTTTAATTGCATGGAAATGGACAAAAACATAACAAACAGCTCATCAGAACTTTTATAGGTAATGAATTTCGTATTTTGTTCACAGTTTCTCTAATTTTGATGTCAAAATTTATTAGTAATTTATCAAAGCCATTAATTTTGTCGTTTTCTATTAAAAGTGTTAATATTTCTTTCTCCTTTCCCATTAACTTTCCGTCAGATATTTTGGACAGCCTTTAAATATGCATGGATAAGCAGCGTCTTTTAACATTGGACGTTTTCTCGGAATTCTTAAAATTGCCGCATTTATAATCGTGAATACATCTTCACGCACAGTCATATCTTCTCGAAAATTCTACTTTTTGCTCTGTATGCGGTAAAAATGTTTCATATTATATGTCAACATACCAATTCAAATAAATTCGTCCTTACTTCAAAAATAATATAAAGTCATATTTCAGCAGTAAAATAATTCTTAACATGTGATTTGCATTGATTTCGGAAATATGATTTTTAAAAATAAAAAATGCGTAGCTTAATAACTTACTTTATAGATTAGTTTCATTTTTAAATATTTTGCTATAATATTTATAAAAAATATTTAAAGTATTAATTATTTAAAAAAATTAACAATAATTTAGCACGTATTTTAGTACTAATTAAATTTAATAATTCAAGTATTTAGATTAAATTTATATTTCATTAGATGAATCTATTTTAGATTAATATACTTAGATGAAATAAAGTAATGAAACATTGCAAAAAAAGTCTTATGCGGACTTCAGATTCTTGAAAGGGCAGATTTAGTCTCTTTTCATTCTAAAAGTAACGCTGATGAACTATGAAAAAGATGCTAAAAGGACCACGTCTAAAAGCGGTCATATCATGACGTTTCAACGACTTCGACAAATTACCAAGATGCAACGGCAAATATTTTGCGTCTTCGCAACGTTGTAAAGATGTAAAAGTTACCACGACCACTTTGCAACCTCTCGGACCAACGACGTTGCCGTGCTAGTTGGGAGGCGTTGGCCACCATTAAGGCTGGAAGCGGTGGTCTCTTTATTATGGAGGCACCTAACAGATGGGTCACCGTTGCCTGCTATGAAGAAACGGACAAATTACATCCATACCTTCTCCGTTATTCGAGCCTTGGCCCTTCGGTGTGGTAGTCAGAGTTACTAACCACTTTCTCGTCTGGGCGGCATAATGTGGTATATAAATGGAGTACTAGTTGTCCTAGCGCAAATATAAAAGGATTTAAGAGGATACAGAAGGATTTAATTGAGATGTTCAATATTCCTTGTAGGTAGTAATCTCAGCCACCTAGCAGCCGTATGAAGACTTGTCTGGACTTTGTGTTAAAAACTCTTAACACGCTTATTGAATATCCTTTATTTCTTTGTTTGGTCGGCTATAACCCTTTTTGCCAAGCAGGCTATTAGTTTCAATAGAATTTCTTACACAGTTCGCATACTGAAAGTCTGGATGCAGGATTTCTTTTGTACTTTATACAGAAATTACTTTATATTTAAATAGCTGACTGTTTCTACAGATCAGCTACAGGCATGGTCCTTCCGAAGTAGACATTCCAAATGGGTCATATGAAGATTATAAACTGAAAATACGCATATAAATCTTTTGAACTTTATGAATAACTAAAAAAGAAACTATGAGATCAAAAAAGAAATTATGAGATCTTATTTCGTTTAAATTTTACAAAGAGTCTATATTGAAAAGATCTATCTATTCATTAAGCTGTTTCATATCATATCGTTTTGCAGCAATATTTACTGCAAGTATTCTTCTTTTTAACGTAAAAATTTTATACGAACATTCTTCCTAATCCGTTAAAATGCTTAACAATAAGTAGAAGGTATACGCACTGCACGCCAAATTGAATTTAAATAACATGTAAATTAAATAATATGTTTGGCACTGGAACTTTTCATTAGAAATCAAAGCCATATTGATCCTAAACCTTGCCAGATAATTAAATAGTACAGTACTACAATTTTATATAAGATTATTAGACTTTACAAAGCACATTTAACTAATAATAAATTTAATCGTTTAAGTAAATTTTCAGTTCAGAGGAAATTACGAATGAAGTTTCATTAGTGTTTATATGATAATTCACAGAAGGTGCATTAGGCTAAAGCCACGGACTGCTGGTCGCCATTTCGAATTGGTTGCCGGCATGAAATGAAAACTATTCATCCACTTTATGATAAATTCAGCTTCTTAATGGTTCTGGAACTATTTTCCACAAAGAAAATTTCACTTGAAATTTATTCGTTTTTGATTCACTTCGGATCTTTACTATGAGTTACAAAACAGTCACATTAAATATTTAGTATTATTAAGTTAGGATCTTAAGAAATTTGAACTGCGAAATCTCGTTACATAACTCTCGGAATTTCCTGTTATTCTGCCTCCCACATTTGTAAATTGATAATAAGATCGCTTTGCCTGTATTTCATATTATGTAACTAATATGTTAAATAGGAATAAATGAAAAAGTTGAATAAAAATATGTAACATATATGAAATAAGAAAAAAAAATATTTAAAATACATTAAATAAGTAAGCTGTTAACATTGATCTAACTTTACGAATTTTTAAGATTGCCCCAACGAAAATGAGAAGGATGGTGAGATCCAACTTGCTATGCCTCTTACAGACCCTTGTGTGATGTGCACATGTCAGGTGAGAAAACTCATTTAAAATTTGTAATTAAGGTCCTGTTTCTAAATTTTATAACTCAGGCAAAACATTTGCACTTTTGCATGCATCGATGTTTAATTACGTGATTTTTATTTATTTATTCCAGGGTAACAGCAGCACTTGCTTAAAAAAGGCTTGTCCAGTACTACCGTGTCCATCCTCCAAGTTTATTCACAAGCGTGGTACCTGTTGCCCTCAGTGTACAGGTAAATTTGATGGTATGCCTGAAAAGTACCGAATCTGCGAGTTCTGTTAACACGAACAGCTCACTTTATTTAAATTTCAAAAAGATTTACTTGCAATGCATACTATACAAATGTATCGAAACCAAAATATGTGAATTAAGGTTTTTAGATTTCACTTCGAATAACTTTAATTCATATGATGAAGCTCAAAAGCAGGTATTTCCAGCCTTTTTCTTGTCCTCTACATTTTCCTCCATAACGTACATACAACATAATCATAATACAAATAACCGGCCGAGAAGTAAAGCGCTGAACACTGGTAGTTTGGTCCGGGATTCAAATCCTGGCGAACAGGCTGGCTGCACGGGCGTTTTCGTGGTTTTCCACCACGTGTAAGATGTATACTACCCAGTTTCCTTAAGAAAGTTCTCTACGAAGCCATCCCTTTCCTTAGGCAGATAGCCTTAGTGTGCTTTGCTATAACCAAATAAACCAAACCATAATGCAAATAATTCCATAACAGTAACTTAAAGGAGAACAACTAGATATTCAGATATGAACAAAAGTTTTGAAAAAAAAAAGGGGTTTATTAGATTTATGTTAAATTCCTTTTTATATTATTATTATTTTCAATATAACAAACATAAAGAAGTTTACAGAAACAAAATTACAAATTCTAATTGCACAAAAGTTCGATTTAATTAATGTGATGGTTGTGCTTGATGTATTGATTTTAAAAAAAAAATATTTGGCATATAATTGCTTTTTTCGTCCAAAAATTTTAATCTTTCTTGTTTTTCATTCTAGTTTTTTGTTTTCGTATTTTTTTGACCGAAGTTTTTATGTTCAAGCGTTTTACTCTTTTATATCGCGCATGTTGCATAAAAATTTTTTTTAACGTATATTAAATCATTTTAGCTTACATTTATTTATTTCATGTGATTTTTTCTCTTATATATGATACAGCTTTATATCAATAAACAATTAATTATCAATTTTATTAATACATTTTTTGTTATCAACGGGATCTTGATTATGCAGATCAGTTAACGGTACCGACCCGCTATTGATCTCTCGATAATCATTGACTCCCTTAAAATTTGACTGATTGACTTAAAGTTTCATCCGCCACCAAGGGCTCAATACCAACTCTGTTGGACACCTGTTGTTGTACAGTATAATGATTTCAATTGCTGAATTTTTCAGTTCGGCTGTATCATGAATTGTCAAAGATTAAATTTCGAACTAAGGCATCTTTTAGATTAGTTTGAAGGCTAATATGTGTATATGTAAGATAAAAATATGTAAATATAAAGTATAATTTAAATTAATAATAGTCTCTAATTCCTTATTTTAATTTGAGTAATTCCCCTCTCTATTCTAAATGCAGTAATACCTTTTCTACACTGCGTCATTTCGAGACTAAGCCATATCATATAGGACATTCACATAATGCTGTTGATGTAAATGGAATTAAAACGCAAATGGCCAATAATAATTTTACAGCATTATTAATAGTCTATTGCTATTCAAATGCATTGAACTATCAGGCAGTTTTAATTTATATTTAGTCCTGTTTCTTTAAAATTTTCATAAGAATTTCTTTCCGTTATACTATTTAAATAAATTCATATTTCATCCATTTGCTATTAACATAAGAATTTTGTAATAACATAAGAATATTGTAATTTCCTACAGGAAGCCGTCGTGTTTTCAAAGTAGATGGAAGATGTCTTTTTCGAGGTGAACTTGTCAAATCGGGAGATGTCTTTCAACAGGATGCTTGCACTACCTGTGTTTGTAATGTAAGTCAATAAAATTTCGTGAATTCCAAGAAGAATTTCTTGGTGATTCTTAATTTTTGGATTCTCTAAGTTTCCAAACTTTATTTGTTTTTAGCGAGGTTTAGAAATTGTTGACTGCTTACAGTTTTTTTTAATTTAATAATAATAATAATATCTGTAATTACAAGATTTAAAATTTGCAAGCCATAAAGAGCATCTATGACTTTAGATGAAGTTTAATATTGTTCTAGTCTTTGCCAGAAAAGTGTAAAAGATATCACAATCAGCATCCAATAAAAATGATTTCTTTACGTTATAACGTTGCGCGCCTCCAACTTGCACGCAACCAAGGGGTGACTGTGAAAACTTGTATAAAAGATAGAGCCTTGTGAAGGGTTTAAGTCCCTTTTTATTCAACGTAATAAATTACAATTGCGTCCTCTTGACGCTTACAGACGGTGCCAACTCGGTAGTCAAATAAAAATAATAACCTGAAAAGAAACAAAAGACAAGACTCTAACTACGAGGCTCTCTAAAATAACTAACTCACCGCGTTTTACAATACCGCTGCTAATTCAGCAGACTTGAAGCTCACTGGAACGATTACCACTACTTCCCGCCAAGCACAAAGGCCGAAACGCGGGGTTCTTCAATTCTCGCTAACTACCTCCGCGCTCGTGCAGTAAGAATATCACACACCGAACTTGTTTCCTTCCTATTTAAATCATAATACTTCCGCTGATAATTTGAATCCTTGCGCGTTCTACTAAAATTTACATATTCTGGCATTGGCAGTTCCAGGGGAAAGTAAGGCTTGACAGGAAAGATAGTTTAAACTTAAAATAAATGTTAGTTAAAATAAATATAAACCCTACAACGTAAAATAAAATTATAAAGCTCAATGAAATATCTACTGGAATGGAAAGTTAGAAAGCTGATTGTAAGTACTTGAAGACATTTTCATTTGATGAATAACTATTTTTTAATAAAGCACTACTAGGTATTCCAGTTTTAAATTTTTAAATCTGAAATATTATTTAATTAAAAATAACTGATATGATGCTTAAATTGTAGACCAGATTTCCACATGTGTTATTATTTATTCAAGAATATTATATAGAAATATATATTTATATATAATGCAAAATAAATTAAATTGAAAAAAAAATTAAAAATCTGAAAGGTTTCAGATTTTAAATTACGTCCAAAGGGGCGTTTTATTTAACGTTTTGTGTGTTGCCTTTATTTATTAAATATCATGTTCTTAGTTCATGTTCATACAGTTAGTGTTATCTTACTAGGAAACCTGGCGACTTCTGTCACAGGCGTAAATGATACTAGCACAGAAGGTCTAGAATGATACTAGCATGATACTAGAAATGATACTAGCACACGAACCCTTCATTATTCTTCAAACTCCTTAAAAAAATGCAGTTTATGCTCACAATAGCACCGACTACTTACGGTAGGAACTTAAGAATAATTTAACAATAAATTTACATGGTAAAGAGTAGTGCTAGACTACTTAAGACTAAAACAGGTTGACTCAGCAACCTACACCCGCGATAGTCTTTTAACTAAAATGGCCAGATGGCGTAACAGGAACTCGGAGTAACAGCAGAAAGGGCAGAATAACAATATACGCTGGCTAGTGAAATCATGCTCTGACTTTCTCTTTTCGCCTTTTAAATACGCTTTTTCACTTCAACTTAACTTGAATCCTGGCGAGGAAATCGAGGGGAAGTTGACGAGTTTATAAAAGGCAACAAAAATTAGAATAATTGGTTATTCAAACTGAGGAAAACCCTACGCAGTGGCAAACTGTATATGATAAGCGCAATAAAAATATCCAAACCAAGAATCGAAGAAAAAAAATTATAGCGTCAAAATCATAAGCATGCTTAAATAAGTTTAAAAAATTTTAATTCTTTTTTATTTTGAACAGACTAAGTCCAAACAGTATAAATACAAACAATCTAGCGCATAAAAAAAAAATAAAAATAATACATGAAAATTTGAAAACCATAAAAGCCGGAGTAAAACTTTTGCAATATTATAATATCAAAATCGTAATCAAACAAAAAAGCTTAAATATCTAATAAAATTATTTTATGTTTAAGCAGACCAAGTCCAAATAAACAAAACATGTAAATAGAAGCTATTCAATATATAGAATAATAATAATAATAATGATTAATATATACTATATAGAACGAACACTCAATAAATGCATGTAATATTATAAGGCGAAAATAAAATTTTGCAATGTAGAAGTACGAGATTGGAAATAGCCCATTATTATGCTAATAGTATAAAGGCTAATGCTACTGCTGATATTACGTATGTTATTTTTATATCAATGAGTTTGTTATAACAACAAAACAAACCTATATCTTAATGCGACGTGGATTAGCAACAGTTCAAAAATTGGTAGTTCGACCAGCAACGGGAAGGATTAAGTCATAATATAGGCGCGATAATGTGACGTAATGCAAAAAATGGAAAGACTAAATTGAAGACATTTCTAACTTCAGAAGAAAAATAGATGTTAAATATATTATAAATTAAATATATTATAAATATATAATAACTTTTATTAATTTACTGTTCTTTTAGGCACGTTTATGTAAATTATCAAATAAGTTAGTAAAAAATGTACTACTGAGTAAGCTATAAATGAAGGATAAGTATTAAAGTGCAATAACTTAAATAAAAATGGTATAGTAGAAAGGAAAAAGGGCGTGAAATGCCGAAGAATGTATTCCTCCAAGTAGTAGAGAACAAACATACAGTGTTTCGTATGTTATGATTAATTACTATAATTTAATTTCCGTAATTTTTTATGTAATGTACATTGGCGCACGAAAGCATTTAAAAATATGCGTTGTGTTGCCTAACTGTTAACATAGGTTCCGTTTATCTAACTATTACATAAAAAGTTCAAAGCTCTGAAATGTTATACTCAAGCCATAAAAACAGACATAAACTTCTTTGCAGAAACTTTCGAGGAGCGAAGGAGGTTTTTAGTAAGCAATGAGATTCCCAAGAAGTACAAAATGCTCGTGAAATACACCACATGCAGGCCGCACGTGCAAAAAATTAGAGCGAAAAAGTCAGAAATATTTATATAGGAGAAACGTAAATAATTTTCACCCTAATTCTTTCTTCAAGAAAGGGCGAAAAAAGAAATGTTCCAGAAATAATAAACTTTATTAGTTCATTTTTTCCTCGTTTTGCCCCTAGTCGTACATAAAACTTTGACTGACGCTTGACGAATGCCAGACAACCGCCGTTGTATCTGGTGTGTGTATGACATATAGTGTATACGGATATGTATGTATGAAGCGGTTGCTGACACACGGCAGTCAGGCTATGGCTTATACAACATTCTAAAATAAATATTTTATCTAAACGCGTTTGTAAGAAATGAAACTTATCCGATATGGACTACGCCATTATTTTTGTTTTACGCTTGTTTGTACTCAGAAATATGGGATTTTAGCTTCCAAGTTCTGAGAATTGTTTTTTTCGGGGGGTTAGTATTTTGGTCTCATGGATAGATTTTGATTTTTCTTGCTTATAATATTCTTGCAAGTCTGTTTGCCGACTTAGATTTTAAAACGAAAGCTAAGTAACGAGGGGGGGGGATTATAGAAAAAAGTTTTTCTCGCTTGTTGCATGTTAGATTGGAAACAACTTCGTATTATTTATTTTTTCGTTGGATGTTTTAGTGCGTTTCGCCGACAAAGCGCAAAAAAGAGACATTGGTAGTATTTTCGGAGTTGAAGAATGTGAAGATAAATTTTCACAAAATTGCGCTATAAGCTGAAACACTTTCCCTTCTCTTTTTATGGCAGATGTTCTAAGTCAATGAAATACCACTCTGTTTCCAAAGTTTAAAAATAAGTCTTTTTTTTTTTTTAAATTTTAGGTCTGAAAATATTAAAACCAGAAGCAACTTAAAATTCTAATTATTTTTGCTGAACTATAAAGGGGTTTACATGCATCACATGTTATTGGAGCAATTTCCGTGCAACTGAAATGCAATATAAACCGATTTTATTAGACTTAAATCTAATTTAGGGATTGATTGTTAGCACGTAGACGGAATAGTCATAACGAGGCATCATATTTTTTCTTATTTATGTTTTATCTAGTGTAATATATACAGAAAATAATTAAAGATAAATAAATATATAAATAAAAATAACTAAAATAATTAAAATTTTCAGTCGTCACTAAATGCATGTGAATATTTTTGCCTTGAACTCTTCTATGCCAAAGGTGCAGAAGGTTTCGAGTATAAGTGTGCATTTGCGAAAAATGGAATTACAAAGTAACATTTGAGTTGTGAGATAGCATAGCTAGATAATCATATGAGTTGCAATTTTATTATGGTGGAAATTTCTGGCACAGTGTTTTTACACGAATTTTTTAGACATTTTCTGAGATTTCGTGAACATCAAATTTTCCCGCAAATATCAAAATAAACTCCAAAATTTCAGATATTTTCCTATTATTTTCAAATTTCTTTTAAAATACTTTTCTTTGATTTTTACTTCCTTGTATAGAATGAAGGAAGTATTGTAATCACAAAAAATTTCGGGTATCATATGTCAACGGAAATATCCCTTCTCGCCGCTCCCGAATCCAATTGGACGATTTTTTTTACATTTGTCTGTACATACAGACAGAATAAAATACTCTTTTTTTAGAAGCAGATTGTAAAATGTATTCTAAAAGGATTTTATTCGTGATATCGGTACATACGTGCATATGTATGTATGTATCTCGCATAATTTAAAAATGATTAGCCGTAGAATGTTAAAATTTTGTGTATGGGGCTGCTATGACATCTAGTTGTGCACTTACTTTGCATGTACGTTTATATTTACCATTTGCTACTCAGGTTTAAAACAAAGCGTTCGTAAATTATAAATAGTGCTAACTATGGTACTTCCTACATCGCTCTGTTGCTGCTAGCTATGCCTACGAAAGCCACATCTCTTCCGTCGTTTCAT